TAAAAAAAGTTAATTTTGAGGTAAGTTACACTTTAAAGGGTAATAAAATAATTGTTCGTGTAATATTTTCCCTATAACTATTACCAAAACACTAAATAAGTATAAATAAGTATTTATATTTGTGTACAATCCGTTTAGATTGTCAAAAAACCTGTGTTTTTGGGGTTGTTAATGAAGTTCGTGTACTCAGACCAGTAATGTTTGGGGTCACAAGTTTTTGCCATGGATACTTTGTGGGTCAGAAGATAAAAAGTTTGGGAACCACTGCATTAGATTATTCCTGATAAGATGCTCTGTTTGTATCAAATCACATCAGAAACCAAGAAGACCTTCATTGATACCTGCTTTTCCTCTCAAAACTGCCTCCCTAACATGGCCTGAAGCATTTCTTTCTCCTTTTTTTTCTGAACATAATAAAAGAAAAAMGTTCCACATTTGATTCTCTTTTTGTCTGATGAGAAGGTGCAGAGTGTCTGCACAGACTGGAGAAAACATTAACCTTGTTTAGTCATTATTAACAGACCAGCCAGCTTTGGTTTCTGTTGGGTGAACCCATTACTGCTTAAATACACTTTTACAACATCTTATCAAAGATAAAACCTCAGTGACTCACACTAATGTGACTGTCACCACAATGTTTCATGAGATGCTCGAATTAATTCAAATTGCAGGAGGGAAACAGTAGAACTCGAAGTGCATTTATTCAGAAATAATTCCTTTAAAGTTGTTTTTTGTTTTTCTTTGAGGCTGCTTTAGCACCAGAAAATCTCTTCGTATAATGTTTAGTGTCATTGCAAAGTTTGAGCTTTTACCTTTTTTTTTAGCTGGAAATCTCGATGACTTCACTCCACATCCATAAAATATGAGTTATTTGGTCTAAGGTCAGCATTTTTGACAGCTGCATCAAACAGAAAAAGAAAAAAAAACAGCTGAAAATGTACTTGTTGAGGTGTCACTTCATGAGATGAACTTTCACTTCCTCTTTGGCAGCWGTTTACTGCTGCTCACAAACTTTTCTGCAACTTTTTACGAACGCCTCGGTTTAAACATCCAAACCGTTTTTAAACTTCCATAAGTGCAGAGCTCTCCCGTAGCAATACGGCACAAATCAAATGTTTCTGTTGGGTTTTCTTGTGCTGACCTGCCCTTCGGAGTGTTAAAGGGGGAAACTTTGGTGGCCGTGAAAACTCTAGAAGGCCGTTTTACAGCCTTGTCTCGCTGTGGACACRGCGTCCAGTCTGTTGGGTTGGACTCATGCAATCTCTATTTTAAGATGATAAAATCACCTTTTTTTTTCCTCACTCAAATTCATACCTAAATTTAAAAATAAGTTTTATTATTGAATTTTGTTGCACTTTTTTTATAAACCCTATCWACACGCTTCAATTCGTTAAATTATGGTTTAGTGTTTTTCAAAGAATGACTCAAGAGATGCATTGATTGCTCTGCGTGTGATGTCAGGTCTTCAGCAGGGGAGATCATTAATTTCTTTCAGAGTTTCTGTGGAAATCATATGACCAGTTAATATCTTACCTGCTGTAGATGAGGGTTAAATAACCTCTGTTTAATTCTGACCAGACTGATGAGSTCATGGCTAGTCTGAGCAGAGTCGATATCAAAGTATAACAGTTTATGTAGTTCTATTGCTTTAAATTCCTGTAAATAGAAAATTAAATTCTCTGGGTTTTTTTTAGGCATAAATAGCAGCAGCAGCTATCCGTAGCACTTCCTGTGCAGGTTTTCACACTTTGAGCAGAAATATTTCTGCAGTATAATTCTAATTTTATGTTCAAATTTTAAAAGCTAATCTTTAAAATTTTAGCCTTTAGTTTCCTTTTTTGTTTGCTTTCACAGTAAAACTCCCATTTTAGCTYCTTAATATCTTTACCACTTGTGGTATTTACATTTTATCGAAGCAGCTCCTTATCCCTTCATGTCGGTGAAGAATGTCCCTCCCCCTCAACCGCTCTCTCTTTTCCTGTCGTCCCCCCCGGCCCGGCCCGGCCCGGGCCGCGCTTCCCCTCAGTTTTCCAAAGAGCAGGAATGTTTTAAAAGGCTGCTGTGTTTTTCAAAACGTCTCGCTTTATAAACCACACTGTAAAACCAGCAAAAAGCACTCACGGAAGAAAGCATTGTGTGAAGTCAAAGTCAGAGACATCGAATAAAAAAAAAAAACGTTTCCACTCTGAAAGACATGACAATCTGGAAGGGGCGGGGTGGACTCTTGTCACAAGTTGTTTAGTGTAAGAATTTTGGGTGGGCCGTCGGTTCAAGAGCGCAGAGCTGCAGACAATAATWTAAAATGATGCCAAAATGTTTCAGAGACGGAGCTCGGCCTCTCCAGATAAGGACAGCAGGGTGTGGTGGCCTCAGAACACAGACTRGATGTGGTGCAGAGAATCCCCCCTTTTTTTTCCCACTGCTCGTCTTCTCAGATTTCACATTTTTCAGCACATTTGTTTTTTTTTTCTTTCCAAATAGGTTGCACACCAGCTTATAATTGCACGTCACACCTTTTATTAGCACATCTGGATGATGAAAGCGACGTTACGTTTCACTATTTAAAGGACACRTTGAAACGTTAAAACTCATTCATGTCAAAAAGCCTCTGGAGGTTTCTAAAAGAGAACTTGAGGATTACCACAAACAAGAAAATCACTTTCAAAGCCACTAGTTCGAAATGACTTTAGTCCTCAGAATTTATTTCTTGTCAAATACCAGATTGATCTGTTTTATTGTACGTTTTTAAAGATAAACAGTGAAAATGACTTTCATTGTGACCATTAGTTTTGTGAAATAATGAGCTGATGCTGCGTTCACACCAAACGCGATTTCAGCTTCAAAATCGCATCCAACGCTCAAGTTGGACGCTCGTGCACTTTGAGGTCAGACGCAGGTCAGCTCTTGAAGCGCTGCACGGCAACAGCCTCCCTGCCCCTCCCTCCTCTGTCGGGCTCTGTTTAATGTCGGACGAGGAAGTGGCTTTGCTTTATTTACAGAGAGCAAGAGCATGTCACGCTCATCAGATAATTAATTCATAATTAATTCACCAGATAATTCAGAGACATTCTGAGTTTCATCACCCAGGAGCTGCGGGAGAGGCTCACAGCTCGCTTTCAGGACTATTTCTGTCCCGAGTCCAGTCTGATGAGCCGCTGCCACACATTGGTGCGGATATCTCCTGTCAGGACACCGACTGCAGGCACTCATTTCAGCTAAAGAGYTCCTCTCCATCTGTTTCAGGTTAGTGGACATCATTCAGTAAACTGTCCCGTCTGGAAATATGTCTCTACGTCACACAGTGGAGTCTCTCTGATTGGTTGAYGCGGCGCGTCGAGCTGCAAAATTTCAGATTTTCTAACTTCAGCGATTTGCGCCTCAGCGCGTCGAACGCTCAGATCGTTCAAATCGTTCAAATCGCGCTGCTCTAATCGCGCTTGAGGCGCCGCAGCACTTCCCGACGCTGATTTAAGCGCGTCCACCTTAGACTTTGTATGTAAACCTGATGCTCCTGAYGCTGAAATCRCGTTTGGTGTGAACGCACCATCAGAGGTTTGTTGGGTTTCTGTGAGCAGATATTGTTAGCTCTAAAAAAAAGTCTTTGCACATCTTGTTTTTATTCTTTTCTATATGGGCACAGGCTGATGGTTCACTTTATTTTTATTTTAGCAAAGTGCAGTGTCTTTTTGACTGTTCTGCATTCTGGAAAAAGAAACAAATGTACCCATAAAACAAGTTCATTTTTAACTAGAAAATTTGCATTTCCTGCAAAAATGCGGTGTGAATGCCTAATGCTGAAAGATTTTTGCTGAATACGGTACCTAAAAAAAAAAGTTGAAATTAGTGTAAAATTAGACAAAAAATAGCTGAAATAGATGAAGAAAGAGCACACGTTGGCCAAGTTCAGCAGTAAGAAGCTGAAATTAGAACAAAAAGGTGAATTTAGCTGAAAAAAGCTYAAGTTATCTAAAAAGTAGCTGAAAACAGAACAGCTGAAAGCAGCAGAAAGTAGCTGAAAAAGGTCAAAATTAGCAGAAAAAGTCAAAATCATAGCTAAAAAAAGCTAAAATCATCAAAATAGAAGCCAAATGAAGCTGAAACTAGCACAAGGGTGGGCAATCCTGGTCTTCAAGGGCCTCAGCTTCATGTTTTACTTGTTCCTCTGCTCCAACACACCTGGTTTGAATTAATGGATGATGATCAGGCTTCTGTAGAACTTGGAAGAGGTAATTCACTGACTGAATCAGGTGTGTTGGAGCAGGGAAACAAGTAAAAGATGCAGGGCTGTGGCCCTTGARGACCAGGATTGCCCGCCCCTGTGCTAGTGTAAAGAAGTCAATAAAAAGAAGAAGAAGAACCAGAACACAAAGTAAAATGTGCAGTAAATTATATATGCAATTTCTGTCATTAAAGGGCTTCTCGTTTTGAGATTAAAATGAAGTGTTTTATTTAGTTATATTTGTGTAAAAAAAAAAAAAAGGCAAAACAATTGAGCAACATGCTTCACAGTGTCACTTCTGCCAAGATGTGTTTCCACTGTCCTCCGTTAACTGTAGTTACTTCTAACAAGTCAGGCTTTCAGGAACTGAGCTCAGCCTTTTTCAAAATGACTATCAGGCATTTTTAGGATCGTCCAGCAGCGGTTTAAATGTGTCACAAGTGTCACAAGTCACAAGTGTTGAGAAATGTGATCGGAGGACGAGGTCATCCGAGGTGAACTTTAAAACAAGTGCACCTTGAGCGACAACACAAGATCTGTTTATGTGCAAGTGTGTATTCATTGTTTGCATGTGTGTGTGTGTGTGATCTGTTTAATGCCATGGGTTGTGTGTGGCAGGAAGTGGGCGTGGCAGCCCAGCTCCTAAAGCTGTTTAAGAGGAAGGCAGGGCAGCATTCATAATCAGATCACTCTTTTCCTGTGTCCTTGACTGTTCAGGCATTTTTGTAAAGGATAGATGTTAAACATCATGACTGATTAAAACAAAAACAGCTGACTTTGATTTGTTTCTTCTTAGAGAGAAAAATGAAACCACTCCGGCTTTTTCTTTAGATTATTAAACAAACAAAAGAAAAATAGGCACTTTATTTAATAAATAACAAGTTTTATGGCCAAAATATGTAATATAATCACAGGTAGCAGGGTTATTTTCTGTAGAAAGCTGCTTATAGATTTAAATTTATGCTTACTAAAAACAGTTTTTTTTCTATAAAATCAGGAGTTGACAGACTTTATTGAACGTACTGTAAAAAAGAAATAAACAAAATTATATGCAAAAGAAAATAAATTTCAAACAAAAACCAAACAAAAGAACAATAGTGAATTATATTTACACATTCAAAGGAGTGGGTAGAAGTATAAACACATTTTTTTACACCCACCCCATTTACACCTATAGAATCATCCACTTGGTTATAACATTATTTCTTTTTAAATAGTTTCTATATGCATATCTATAACTTTTGCAAAGCATTAATTTTGCATGCCATTAAGAGCAAGCATCCATAATTTTTAACACGTTAACATATTTTCAACATCAGTAAACCATGATACAGTAGTAATTGACAGCATCTTTAAACAAAACAAGAACATTGATAATAGCAGCAATAACTAMTTATTTCTCATATTTTTATGCAGTGATGACCATCTTCTTAAAAGACTTGCTGCATCTCAGTTTGAAAATAACATTTTTCAGGATTTAAAAGAAAAAATATACTGAGTCAAAAGATCAAACACATTATTATTATTATTATTATTATTATTCATTATTTCAGTTTGACTACCGTCCATTTATCACAGTAACCTCCTGTTTTGCTCTCAGGTGGGAGATCGTGTGATCGCGATGAACCGCTGCGAGATGTGGCAGGAGCTGGTCGTCGTACCCGCCAAGCGCACCTACCTCATGCCTGAAGAAATGAGTTTCGAGGAAGCCGCCGCTCTCCCTGTGAACTACATGACGGCTTACATGATGCTGTTTGAGATGGCCAACCTCCGGCCGGGGAAAAGTGTCCTCATTCACATGGCTGCGGGTGAGAAACGGCCTGAACATATAAATATACGTAGTGAAAACGTGTCACACTGATGAATTCATAACACGCATCAGTCCTGAATTCAGCTGCTTTTCTCTAGTGGAAAAAAAAAAGATCAGGCAGAACACACGGGTCAGCTGTCCGCTTCCAGTGTGTATTTGGTCTCATGACGTTTTATTCATGAAATGTCAAACTGGATCTTTATCAAAGCTTGGTAGCACTTGACATTTCAAACAAGCAATATTTATTTATTTATTTATTTATTTTTCACCAAAAGGTTACTGATGTCTGCTAGTTCAAATCAAACCCCTACTAATAATCACTGCTGGATGAAAATAGTCGAACACATATTTATCGGTAACTTCTTAGCATTTGCAAATTGCACACAGTTACATGAAGTGTGCTCGTTTTGGGCAAAATTACCCTTTATTGGAGAAAAAAAAACTAAATGGTATCAAAAATGAATGAGTTTTGGGATAATGTTTTGCCAAGCTAAAAATGTTCTCCCTCTGTGTTTTGATATGCAGTTAATGTGGACTCTCTCCCCACCTAGTGGCACAACGTGGGTATAACAGCACGTTTGTTGGAATAGACAAAGATATTAAACAGAAAAATGTAAAAATCCAGGATAGCGTAGAAAGGGCCCACGGTTCATCTGAATGTTAGCAACGTGCTAACAGYGGATTGTCGAGAAAGCTTTTATATAACCACACAGAACTCATTTGCATTTGTTATGTTGTCACATTTAGTGAATATAACATGAGATTTTTATTACGGTTGAAATAAACCCCTCAGAGTCCATCAGTACATCAGTCAGTTTTTGTCAGAATCACAGCCTCTGTACTCAAGTCTATTRACCTTCATCACCGCCCCCTCAAAAGCCACTCGTCGGATCTGAGTGGGTCGATGCTTGTCAGCTTGGGCACACCTGGATGTTCTTTTTAGTAAAATGAGACAATGGCTAAACAGGAGTAAATAAAGCTTCATATACTTGACTCATGTTATGGTGAAAACGTGCCAACAAAACTGCTGTTAGACACCAATAAGACAGAACATCAACCCTGTTCTAGATTAGACGCTCAGTAAACCAGGCTCACCTGGTAACCCTTAGCTGGTTTCATGATCAAACTGCAGATATTTTCAGACCACACAGAGGTTGAAGAGCAGAACAGAACACATGCTGTTGGGCTCTGCTGCACATCTGTAGGTGGCGTGGGCATTGCTGCGACCCAGCTGTGTCAGACCGTGCAGGATGTGACCGTCTTCGGCACCGCCTCGGCTTCCAAACACGAGACCATCAGCCAAGGTGGGGTAACTCACCCCATCGACTAYCGGACCAAAGACTACGTGACCGAAATACGCAAAATCAGCCCAAATGGTAATGACAAAAATACTGTTTTAGTTAAAAACCTCCACTTCCTGGTATTTATTCTTGCMTTTTTGTGTTTTTACTCTCTGCAGGCGTTGATATCGTCCTGGACCCGCTTGGTGGTTCTGACACCCAAAAAGGCTTTAGTTTGCTAAAACCTTTGGGGATGCTAATAGCCTTTGGTAAGAAACAACTTTTGGAAATCTTAATTAAAACCTGTATCTCTCAGATTTTGTACATTTGCGTTTTAGCTTGACCTCATTTAAATTATAGTGTGAATGCTTCACAGCATTCACACTATTGAGATCATTTTTTCTTCCATACGTTTTTCAGCATCTAGCTCGTTCCACACTTTTTGTGCTATTTCAGCAATTCATATATCAAAACGTTCAGCTCATTTATGACAATCCTGCTATTATTATTATTATTATTATTATTATTATTATTATTATTATTTCAGCTATTTTTACTTTTTAGCTATTTCACTTTTTTAACCACTTTTTTGCCATTGAAAATGAATGATGTTTTAAACATCCTTAAAATTCTTTAAAATGTTTCTAAATGTTTACAGAACCTTACACATTTTGTTCTGGTTCTGCTCTGTTTAACTTTCTTCTGCTAATTTTTTTTCTGCTATTTCAGCTGAAATTCATCTTCTTTCTGCTATTCTTCTCTTTTTTTATTTTTGTTGTGTTTTTTTCTGCTAATTTGTGCTCATTCTTCTTCTTACAGGTGCCTTCTGCTATTTTCAGCTATTTGCTGCAAATTTAGCTATCTTTGAGCTGTTATTAGCTAAAGTTAGCTTTTTTAAGCTAAATACACAAGTTTTGTAGCTATTATAACTTTTTTCTGCTAAGTTCTACAACCTTGTGCTCCTCATCCTTCCTTATGATAATAACTTTAGCATAAGGCATTCTGATTGCTAATGTCAGATTAGACAGTCTGCTGTCTCTAAAATAGGGCTGGGCGATATGATCAAAATTTTATATCACGGTATTTTCAACATTTTCACCGGTTTCATGTTATTTGATGGTATTTTTCTTTTCATCACAGCTCAGCTGATAATAAAATGTACAAACCCTGCTTATTGACTTTTTTTCTTTTACTGTACCTCTGTCTGTGTCGCTGTTTCCCTCCTCTGTGTCTGTTCTTCTCTGACTGGTGGTTGGAGACAGTAGTCATGTATTTTGGTCCAGTCGTGAAGGAGGAGGGTTAAGAAAAGATTATGATCGGGTTTATTGTTTTATGTTATTTATTAAAGCTTATCAGCACGACTCATCTTGCACACCAGTCAATTCCAACTCCACTATGAACTACTTCCTGCAGGTTTTTCACAATAGAACCACGTTAAGTCTCCATCAGCATAACGTCTCCATATTAACTAACCGCGTTAAATCTAACTGTGCATGTCACTGAAGAGGTGTTTACTACATTCAGTGACGGCGAAAACGGGATGTTTTTTTAAACGTCAGTCAATATAAGCAGCGGAGTTGCCACCCGCGGCTGCAACTAGCTGCTACAAACATTAGCATGCTAACACACATAGCAGTGCAGCAAGGAAAAATGTCCCCCGGGAAACAACCGTTCACTGGCGGCCGCGACGAAACGTTCCGCTATTTAAACCGGAATGTCCGGTATTCAAAAAATTCATATCATAACAAAAATAAAAACCGGTATTCGGTACAAAACGGTATACCGCCCAGCACTACTCTAAAACAAAATATAGCTTTTTATTTTTGCMCAATTCTTTATATTATTTTTTATTAATAGTTGTATCATTGCTAACCAGTGTTAATTTCCATTTTTTGTGTACTGTCTGTAGTTTGTAAAGTGAATATAGTTTGTGAACCTCTGTACTGATGCTGCTGTGACACCCGAATTTCCTCTTGGTGGTACAATAAAGGCTATTTCTATTCTATTCTATTCTTCTAAATTTTCAGCTACTTTTTAACTGTTTTATTACAAATTGTCACTTTTATTATATTTATATGATTTTTTTCTGCTAAGTTCAGCAAACTTGTGCTACTTATGCTTCCTTATGCTAATTAAAGAATTTCCAGCTACATTTTAGCTGTTTCACAAAAAACTTAGGCTGTTTTAGCTGTTTAACTATAAACTGTCACTATGTTGAACTCTTACGCATTTTTTTCTGCTATTTTTAAATTTTTTACAACACTGTTACTATTTGGGTGCTAGTTACAACACGTGACTGCTACGTTTAGCTTATTTTATGCTAATTTGAGCTTCTTTGCTATTTTAATTATAAATCTGCTTCTTTTTCTACTGTTTGTGCTTTTTTCTGCAAATTTGTGCTATTTATGCTTCTTACAAATGTTTTCTGTTATATTCAGCTATTTTAGCTTTCAGCTCTTTTCTGCTTTTTCAACTGTATTTTTGCTCCATTTTACGGTTTTTCTGCAAAGTTAGGCTTTTTTTTTTTGCTTCTTTCAACATTTCAAATTTGAACTCACATTATTACTTCCGCTGTTAAATATTTTCAGCTCAATTTCAGCAGCGTTCAGCTTAAGATTTCAGCAAGAAGTCTTCACATTAGTATTTTCGCAGGAAATGCAATTTCTTTAGTTAAATTTACCTCATTTTTGTCCGCGCCCCTTCAGGTGCAGCCAACTGTGTCACGGGTCAGAAGAAGAACCTGCTGGCCATGGCGAAGACCTGGTACCACCAGCTTTCTCTCAACACCCTGAAACTGATGCAGAGCAACAAGGCCATCTCCGGCTTCCACCTAGGCTACATCACCGACGAGGAGCTCTTTGACAGGACTGTTTTGAAGCTGCTGGAGCTCTACAGGCAGGGGAAGATCAAGCCGCGCATCGACTCCTGCTATCACTTCGAGGAGGTTAGCCTCGTTTGCGTGAATTCTAGCAGCAGAATGTGTGACGAGCCGTGAGGCCGGAGGTGATGCGAGACTGTAGACGAGGGAACGTCTTACCTCACCCCCGACTCCATCAGATAAATTGGCAGCCAATGTCTGTGGCTGGGTGACGGGCTAAATAGTTTCAGTGGCATCATTACAAATGGGAATAACTGCTCATCTGWGTTTACTTTACTGGGTATAACATTTAGACAGGACTTTATCAAGCAGAAAGTAGGCAGTAAAACATTAGAGGCAGCATGTTCAGATTGTAGGAAATTATTGCCATATTAAGATTTAATGTCAATAACATCACATTTTTAGACTATCTTTAATGACATTGTCACTTTATACATACATCTAAAGGTAACTAAATCTATTTTTCTAGTGGAAAATGCAATGTTTAAATGTTAAAGTGGAAGTWAAAGTAGTTATGTAATCAAACTGATGGGATTGATTTGGGTTTAAAAGGTTTTAGTTTGTCAAGATTGCAAACCAGTGTTTTTTTCTTCTTGTTCACTGTTTTCCAATTTAACCTATTTTTCCCCTCAAAAATTCTTTTGCAAAAAAAGCCTTGAACGAAAAAAGTGCTCATGAAAAATTTATTGAAATTATCACAAATGTTGCTCCATTTTTGTCTAAGCAACCATTAGCTGAGCTAGTTTGATAAAGAACTTTTTTGTGTAATTTAGCAGCTGGCTTTTAATCTTAAGCAGTCTTTATGTTTTTACATCTTTAAAAGCTTGATTTGTGCCGTTTTTACGAAAACCCCCCAATAAAATCTTTTGATCCCCTCTTTTCGTCTGTCCTCAGGTGGCTGAAGCCATGAAGCGCATGCAYGAGCGCCAAAACATTGGGAAAGTCATCCTCCTCCCTGAACCCAAGAAGAGCGAAGAAAAACCAAAGTCCAACGCAGACGCTGCTGAAAATGTGGAAAAAAACCAAGCTGTGGCCGGCGAGAAGAAAGACGAGGCCGTAGAGGAAGTTAAAGCAGAAAAGGATTGAGCGAGAGAGAGTTTATGTCAATTATGTTGTCAACACTTCTCCAACACTTTGGTCAAATTTGGTCAACAGGAGGAGGGGAAAAAAAAGCAAGAGGCCATAAAGTCTGTGATTGTTGTCAGTATTCAAGTGTTTGTTTTGTTGTGCAATATGTCAATAGTGTCGTGTCTTTTTGGGAACACTTTTTTTTTTTTAAATAAAGATTCACTTTTTTCAGATACATTATGAGTGGAGTCTTTTTGTTGATGCAACTTTAAATTCAATAACATTTAACCTTTTATTCAGCTAGGCAAATCCCACTGAGTCTACAGGTTTCATTTTTTTTTAAAAGGTCGACTCGGGCCTGTAGGCATCCTAAACATGCATGTTTTTAGAGTGTGGGAAGAAACCCACACAGACTCAACACAGAAAGTCTCCAGACCCGACCTGGGGCTTAAACCCAAAACCTTCTGTCTGTGAATAAATTGGCATGATGAACTTGACTTTTTTTCCCCCATTCTTTGTGGTGACAAGTGCTAAATTGAGCAACAAGGCTAAAACTCCAAGAAACAACAACATACAGTAAACATGTCAAAACAAAAGGCAACAAAAATAAATTTGTGACATTTTGCTGAAAGTCTTAAGTATCAACTAGATTAGATTAGAGCAGGAATGGGCAACTTCAAAGATGGAAGGGGCACATTTTTTTGTTTACACTACCAGAGGTCCACATAGTGCTGCAAATTTACTCTACTGTAATAAAACTGCTACTTTAAAAAAAAGTTTGTGTATATATATTTTTCATACGTACATACAATATGTTTCTTAAATTAACATACAATGTACAGTGCAGTAACTTATAATATTTCATGCTCAAATGCAGGTATAACAGTTGTACTATTATTTAATATGAATACAATATGTTGGAAGCCAACAAAAATAAATCCTTTAGTGAGCTGAAAAGCAGCAGCAGTGCAGATTCCTGCGTGGTGGTTGTTTTGGTGAAGTTTTGGATTTAGCTTTGTGCAGTGTTTAGTGGCAACTAATAATAAAATCCTTCATGACAGACAGCCATTTTGGGGGAGCATCATTGCCGGGCCGGACGGAAGTCACCTGCGAGTCACATACGGCCTGTGAGCCATCAGTTGCCTATCTCTGGATTAAAGATTAAATTTGACTGTATCACTTTAAATCACTTTGTTAAATCAAAGTCCAATCGTTGAGTTACTTTGGTGTGGTTAATAATGCTTCCTGACTAATTCAAAGTCTGATTTAACTGCTGCCATTGAGCCAAATGTGAGGAACTATTAGAGGAATTTTCCAAAGAAACTTTAGGGTTCCTTCCGAAGCACACTGTGCTGAACTGGTATTTTTTTAAAAATCGTTTGCTTGGCAGTTTTGTGCTTCATCTGCTTCCTTCATTACTTGAATTTTAAAGTGATATCAGTTTTTTTCTTTGTTTTGTTTTTTTTCTGTGTGTGTGTTTTTCTAATCCATGACCTAACCAGTAGAGTCTGAGTCCAGCAGATGTTTAGTCCAGCTGTGGCTGTAATTCAGTGCTGAGCTGCACCAGAGTGACCCAGCCCCTCACATTCCTCTCCCCGCTACCATCAGCCCTGCTTTCTGTCTCTTCTGCAGGGATCCTCTCAAGCTGCTCTGCCTTCGCAGCTCACATTGTTTTGATTATCAAGAGAACTCTCCAAACAAAAGGTCCACAGATAATATTTTATGTTGTTTACATCTGTGACATTTAGTTCTTTTTGGCCACTGAAGGTTGGGGAAGTTTTGCCAGGTTTCCTTTACTCCTGCAGAAAAGAAGATGTGTTGTGGATTTAGGGCTGGATCTGGAGTTGTTGGAACACAAGTCTGCTCRGCGGTCTCTTGATCCTGAGGCTGCAGGTTTGAGTCCAGGTTGACCAAATCTTTTGTTCAAGTTCACTCACTGTGGTGACAAACAAGATAATAGACATCAGGATTGGAAACAAAGAATTTCCAAAGCCCTCAACAGCCTTGCACTGTTTAAGTTCGTTTTTATCAAATATCATTGCAAATCAAACAAATTTAGTTTCCATATAAACAGACTGGTAATGGAGCAAAAGGCTGGCACAGCGACTAGTCTACAGCAGTGTTTCCCAAAGTTGGGGTCAGGACCCAAAGTGGGGTCCCGAAACATCAAGGTGGGGTCCTGAAAAGATTTTCTGAATTAATTACATTTTTGCCCTAGTTGTTACAAAGGAGTGAGGTTAGTGTATTTAAAATGGATAAATTGTTACTACGCCCATGTTTAGTTGATCTGATACAAATATTTATCATCCAAACATAGCTGGGGGCACAGGTCTCTGATACTGTTATTTTGTGGGTCAAAGGCTGAAAAGTTTGGGAACCACTGCACTTTGGTTCCCAAAGTTGGACTTGGGACCCAATTATGGGTCATGAAGCACCTTGGATAATCTCCAGAAATCAATTTAAAGGGTAATAAAATAATTGCTGATGTAACATTTTCCCTATAATTATTATAAAAACACAAAATAAGTAAAGATAAATATTGCCAGTTTATTTGTGTACAAGCTGTGTAGATTGTCAAAAAGCCTGTGTTTTTAGGGTTATTAACGAAGCTTGTGTACTCAGACCAGTAATATTTGGGGTCACAAGTTTTTGCTATGGATATTTTGTGGGTCAGAAGATAAAAAGTTTGGGAACCACTGGTCTACAGTGTTCAACAGTAGGTACATCTCGTCAATCCTTTTTAGGGTGTTACTTCACAGCATAACTGTTTAAACTGGAATCAAGTTTAAAGTAAGAAAATTACTGATTAATTATTGTATTTCATTATTTTTTCATTAATGAGAGTTGGAAGGAGAGATCATATTTCTCCAGTTTTAGCTTCTCTCCACTGGCTCCCTGTCAAATTCTGAATTTAAAATATTACTCCTAACATACAAAGCTCTCAACAACCAAGCTCTATCTTATATCAAAGATCTTATTGTTCCATACTTTCCTAACAGAGCACTTCACTCTCAGACTGCAGGTTTACTTGTGGTTCCTGGAGTTTCTAAAAGTAGAATGGGAGGCAGAGCTTTCAGTTATCAAGCTCCTCTCTTGTGGAACCAACTTTCAGTTTCTGTCCGTGAGGCTGACTGTCTGCTTATAAGATTAGACTGAAGACTTTTCTTTTTGATAAATCTTATAGTTAGACTTAGGTTTCCTGAATTATTTTTCTTTTCTGCTGCTATAGACTTAGACTGCTGGAGCACAAACTGACCACATTTCCTCACTCTGCTGCTGTCTTTCTCTCTTCTCTACATGTTTATTGTAATTTCTATCAATAAGTTGTTTTTCTTTGTCTCTTTTACACCTGGACCAGTCCTTTTGTGTTTCTGTGTCTCTTTCTTGTCCTCTCAGACCCAGGCAAGACAGTTGTCCTGAGCCTGGTTCATGCTGGAGGTCTCTTCATGTTAAAAGGGAGTTTTTCTTTTCCACTGTCACCAATGTGCTGCTCAGGATGGGAGACTGTGGTGAAGTAGCACAATCTGTTGATTTCCTTAATATGTATATATTTTGTTTGTTYTTGTGTAGTGAGACAACTTTTGTTGTGACATGATGCTGTATAGAGTAAATAAACGGAAATTACTTGAATTGTGTGTTAGATATTAAAAGATGCTTAAATAGTAACCATTTACAAGGCAACTTGCTATGTTGTATTGAACACCTTATATTAAAGTTCACTCTTCATCCTCTTTCCGAAGCAACTTAGTATCAGTATTATTGTGTAAATGTGTAAAAKAACCACAGCCTCATCACGATGCCACCAGCAGGGGTCCCCATGTGTTCACAAATATAAGAAGAGCATTCCAACTTGTGATAAAAAGGATTATGATTCTTCTGTTCTTTACTGTTTTTTTTTTTTTACAAATTATTCCTCAGTTATTAGTAGTTGTTTGTTATTTGAAATAAAGGACTGATTCTCTCTCGCAAATTAACAGCATTTTCCACTGCACAGAGAAACCCGGACGTTATTTGTCCTTTTGAGGGTCACGTCTCGCTCCTATAAATCTTCAAATTGGTTCCATTCTCATTCAGCTTCCTGTCCAGACCGTGACACAAACTTGTGTGGTGAAGTTCATGCTTGTCTTGTGAGTAATGTGGGATTTGAGAGACCAAAGTCTCTGATTAACACATGCTGTCATACGAGGCCTAAACAGGAACTACCAAAATACCACYGACAATAACAGGAAGAAATTAGATGCTCTTACAGTTTCATTTAAAAAAAAAATGCTGAATTAAAAGTTAGTTTTGGGATCAAACGATAAGAAGCACCAGACGAGGATTTGTGTTGCTCTGAGGTGCTTGTCACTGTGTTCTCTACTCTGTTTATATAGTTCTTATCTCACTGAGAGTTTATCTAATGCATTTTTTTACACAAACTTTGTTTCACCGCTGCAAAAGGTGACAGTCTAAGACTAAGACCAACATTTTCAGATGCAGACATGTCCCCTAAAAAAAGGTCAAATAACAGCCTGCTGATTTTTTATCCCTAACTGTTTGCTTTGATTTTATGAAAAGTTTCCCTCAACCCTTTTTTATGACATATACTACAGTACATGACTTGTTAAAACACACTGCATGTAAAGTATTGTTGCCGCCACAGATTTTACTAAACAAAATAAATGTTTAGGTTTTTTTTTTTAGATGTTTCAGCACAAGTTAGTACAACTTATCATTTTAGATTGATTTAAAGTGACCTTTGGATTGTTTTTACACAGAGATATTCCACAAATGTAACCTACATTTTCTTTAAACGTGGTTCCTTCAAACTTTCACAGTAATATATAT